TCTCAAATAAATAAATAAAATCTTAAAAAAAAAAAAAATACAGATTTTTCAGACCACACTCAAAACCTACTGAATGAGAACCTCTGAAGCTGGGGCCCAAAACTCTAAAGAAATGAGAAAAATTATTCAGGAGATTCTGATGATAAGTAACATTTGGGAATCAATGATAAATGCCAGGGGTTGGCAAATCCAGCCCACTGCCTATTGTTTATTTATAAATAAAGTTTTCGTGGAACATAGCCACGTTCATTCATATACATATTGTCTGTGGCCGTTTTCAGGCTACAGTGCACAGTTGAGTATTTGTGACAGAGACTGTGTGGCCCACAAAGGGTAAAATTTTTACTATCTCGTCCTTTACAGAAAGTTTGCCAACCCCTCCCTGATCTATACCTTGCTGCCTGTCCTATTTGTGTGTGCGTAGTTGGAGATGTAGTAGACATGACGTTGGTTCCATTATGGGCATTGCAGCAGGTGCTCAGACATTCTTATTGAGTCAATAAAAATTAATTTATCTGCAGTTTACCTGAAATTAAGAGACTAAGCCTTAGGAAGTCTAAGCAGTGAAATTTAAGAAAAATACTAATCTAGGTATGGTTCAATCACAGTGGGTGAACTGCTTTTAACAAAGATTCCTTTTCGGGCGCCTGGGTGGCTCAGTTGGTTAAGCGACTGCCTTCGGCTCAGGTCATGATCCTGGAGTCCCGGGATTGAGTCCCGCATCGGGCTAGCTGCTCAGCAGGGAGTCTACTTCTCCCTCTCCCGCTCCCCCCTCTTGTGCTCTTTCTCTCTCTCACTCTCTCTCTCTCAAATAAATAAATAAAATCTTTAAAAAAAAAAAGATTCCTTTTCATTCAGTAGGTAATAGGGTGTTCTCTAAATGGAGAAAGATACGAGATTTCTTGCCTATGTAACAGGGATTGATTACCACAATTGATGTGTAATAGAGAACTGTAATTAATTCCTAATTATTTTGGTACCCCTGATGCTGCCATAATTTTTAAAACCAAAGTCTCTTGGGTGCTTGTGGTCAAAGCTCAAGCTACTACAAGCAATTAATTACCCAGGACTGACCAAACTCTCTAGACCTGTGCTGTGTGATACAGTAGCTGTTACCCAGATGTAGGAATTTAAATTAAATCAAATTAATTTAAACTTCAATTTAAATCCCTCACTCACACATTTCAAGTGTTCAGTAGTTACATGTGGCCAGTGGCTGCCTTACTGGACAATAGAGACACAAAACATTTCTATCATTACAGAAGTTTTAGTGGACAGTGCTGTCATAGATGCTGGACTTTCAAGAGTTGCAGTTCGCTCAAATCCCAGACTTGCTATTTGACTTAATCCTTTATTTGTAAGAATGGAATAGTAATTTGTAATGTTTTCTTTTTCTAACAGCAAATAGTGATGAAATGTATTCATTCCTTGCTTTAGGGATGTCTTAGCTAAGAGCAAACTCTTTATTACATTCCGATAAGCTCCTAAGTCTTGATTCCAGGAAATATCCATCTCATTTACCCTATGGACTCTGTATTCAAGATAGTTAATCATTGGCCAGTTCATGAAGTGGTTCAGAACTGACTGTGATTTCTGGCCAAATCTATTTGGCTTGCTTAAGGATGGTGGGAAAGGGAGCAGTTTTAAAACAGAAGCTATAAAGTCAGTAGAGTATAAAGTCTTGGCATCATCTTTGAAGTGATTTAGATTTCATCATTCAGTGAATCATTTTTATTCCCAGCATCTAGTGCTTTTTACATGGTCCAAAGCGGCCCTGTGCTGCTCCACTGCAGAGGAAACTTCAAGAAATGCTGGTTTGCTACAGTGTTTTAGCTTGTGAGAGTCTCTGGGATCTTCCCTGCACCATCATGGGGTCACCTCTAGGTGGGTATTAGGGAGAGATTGGTAATTGATTTAACCTTTAATAAAGAACTTAGTCATCTTTTGTGATTTAATAAGATACATATATTTAACAGCTTGTTCCTTAAAATGTTTTCCCTGACCCCAGCAGCATCACCTTGAAGACTGCTTCTCTAGCACAGTGTTCCTCAAACTTTGAGAGGCTCCAAAGGCCACTTAAGGCTAAAAGATCCTGTAGACTCCCTAACTTATTCTTAGTTACCTCATCAGAAATGCTACCAAGAACCTACTTTTCTGTAAATTACCAGATCTTTGTCATTTTGCACCTCAGAGCAAGGCAGCTGTGACAGGAATGGGAGTGGGTTAGGGGTGGGTGAGAGAGAGCAAGGATTCAAGTATAATCTCACTCATTCTGGTTTTTCCTGCCATCAAACCATATTACCCTATGTCTCTCCTTCATTCTTTCTGAGCTGAGATGGCGGGATCCAACCATATTGGGTGTTAAAAGCTGTCATTTGATGGTATTAAGGGATCTCTTCAGGAGTCAGGGTGTTCAGAAGGATTCTCCTCACCCACTCTCTGTGTCTTCTGTTCTGCTGTCCAAAGCTTCCTGGACACTTCTGTGAGATATTGGTATATCTTGCTCTGGCATTTTGGATCACTTTAGGGACTAACATGAAAACCATGTAAAGGTCATCTTCAGACCATGATTTTAAAACATTGATCCAAAATGATCCACTCAGGTCACCTAGATTTCTACCCCTAATAAATACTCTTTTGAGCCCAATCTTTTTTCTTACACTCAGAATGAGTCCAAAAAAGGGCTAATGTTTAGTGTAGATTACATCCTAAAAGCACTTTTTAGGAAGTTGACTGTGATAGAGATTTCTATTTCCTTTACAGGTCATTTTACCTGGGACAAATACCTAAAAGAAACATGTTCAGTCCCAGCGCCTGTCCATTGCTTCAAGCAGGTAATTGATTCTTGACATCTTTAGTAGGTGGGAGGCAAGTAGGTTTGTTCTGGTCCTGAGACAAGCAAAACAAGCCCTTGGACTTCTCACCTGAAGGCCCCAGAATAAACTTCTGTGGGAAGAATACAGCTCAAGGCTCAAAATTGATGAATTTTGGCGGCAGACAGTCTCTCCACCTTCATCCCAAGTAACACCTTTTCCTTTCTTAACCTCTTTGAGGCTATATTTTGTTACTGGGAACAATACCCAATTTTTATGATAGCTCTTAATTCAGACAGATAGGAAACAGAGTTGTAGCCCGTAGATAGTGCTTGAAAGGGGAGCAGTATTCATTTCTCTTTATGCAACACCCCGGCCACAGTCCTGCCTTTCCATAAGAATACTGGCACCAAGTTCCACTGGAGAGTATGTTAGGACTTTATTAGAGGTTGCTCCGAGCTTCCCATATAGGATTAAGTGTTCCACACAATGCACAGATAATGTTGACTATATCAGCACATGATAAGGCTGGTAAACAAAGAAGTGTACTGCTGTTAAATAGAGCTAAACATCAGGAAGCTATTTATACCTTCCTTTATTATTCAAGTATTTATTTCCTCAAATTGTCAACATTTCACTTTAAAATTTGTCTGTGTTCTAAATAAAAATGCAAATCCAGGACTTCTGCTTATTTGAAATAAGAGGGACTAAATTCATACTCCCACCCAAAGTAATAATAATAAAAGACAGTATATTAAACAGTAGTTTTCAAGTTACTGAAGATCAGGCAGCCAAGCACAGTGATCTCTGAGAGATGAAAAACAATGAGTTGAGCCCCTTATGATTTCCAGCTTACTGCCTTAAGAGAGTTTTGAGACCATGGCCCATAGAAGAGGAGCCCAGGGTGAGCCAGTGGCTCCCTAATTTGAAGAGATGGAGCTGAGAGGGGAAACCAAGGTGGCTAGAATTTAGAGGACAGAGTGCCTAAGAGGAAAGAGCTGCACAGAAAGAAAACCACAGAGATCTGCAGAAAGCCCTCTTCAAGTCTTCAGCAAAGTGATGTTGTTTCATGTATGCAGTTGAGGAAACTACCCAAAGCCAAGAGAAAAGCCATCTGACAGGATTGGAAGGATCAGAGCCTCACACTCCCACAGGGCTGAGAATAATGCCTGATTCCACCAGCTAGACTGGAAAATGTCATCATTCATGTGGCATACAGTGGAAAACTTGGGAAGATTTTACTCAGCAGTGGGAAATAATTAGCCTTAGAATGAGGCTCTGGACCTGCCTAACAAATCATAAAAGTAAGACTCAAAATGATCAAACTGTTTTCAGGTAACTTAAGGGCATCTAAGAACACAGCACAAGAAGGAATGCGAAAATAATCAGCAACCAACAGGTAAAAGACAATGTCTGTCAAAGATTACCAAGCATGTAAAGAGGCAGGAAAACATCATCAGTCATGAGTGGAATAATCAACCAATTGAAACAGACTCAGAACCTATATAGATCTTAGAATAACAGACAAAAACATTAAAACATGTATTTTAATTATATTCCATTTGAAAGTTAAGCAGAGACACGAAAGATAATGAAAAACTCATACTGAACTACTATGTGCAAAATGAAAAATACACTGGATGGGGTTAATGGCAGAAGAGATCAGTAAACCTGAAGACATAGCAGTAGAAACCATCCAAAAATGAAACAGAAGAGAGAAAAGAATCTTAAAAAGATGAAAAAGAACATTAGTGAGTCAAAGGATAACTTCAGTTTCCATGGGATAACTTCACAGACCATGTAATTAGAGTCCCCAAAGGAGAAGAGATGAGGGATGGAAAAAATATTTGAAGATACAATGGCTAAAAAATTTCCAAAATTGAGGAAAACTGTAAATCCACAGATTGAAGAAGCTGTATGAATCCACCCCCCCAAATAAAAGACAAGAAGAAAACTAATTAACGCATATCATAAAGGCTCAAAGTTATCAATAGAGAACATCTTAAAAGCAGCCAGAGAAAAAAGACACTTTACAGAAAGGTTAACTAACTTAGTTAACATTATATTTTCATATATTTAGTTACATTATATTTACTTGTCAGAAACAATGCGAACAAGAAAGTTGAGTAACATGTTGAAAGTAAAAGGAAAAACTGTCAACCTAGAATTCTATACCCACTAAAAAGATCTTCCAAAAACAATACCAGGTGGAATTACGGATCTATAAAAAGGAATGAAAGTCCCTGGTAATTGTAATTATAAGGGCAAATACATAAGATGTTTTTCCTTATTATTTAAATCTCTACAAAAGATAATCATGTAAACAATAATAATCATATTGTATTGTAGAGGTGATAACAGATATATAAGTAAAATGTATAACATAAATGCCCAGGAGAGGAGAAATCTTAAATATACTCTTGTAAGATTCTTATACATGAGGTATAATGTATATGAATAGTATATTCTTGTAAGAATAGTATATTCTTGTAAGAATAGTATATTCTTATAAGAATAGTATATTCTTATAATGAAGTAGGATAATATTACCTGAAGATAGACTGATAAGTTAAACATGTTTACTATGAACAGCAGAGCAACCACGAAAATAATAGAAAATAAATAGCAGATGGTAGACTTAAATCCAACCATATCAGTAATCAAATTAATTATAAATGGTCTAAATGCCCTAGTTAAAAGGTTGAGATTGTCACATTGAATAAAAAAACAAGATCCAATTTTATACTGCTTGCAAGAAATTATACTTTAAATATAAAGACACAAACAAGTTAAAAGTAAAAGGATAGAAAATAATATACCTTGCTGACATTAGCCACAATAAAACTAAAATGACTATGTTAATATCAAAGTATATTTCAGAGTAGAGAATACTACCAGAGATAAAAAAGGTAATTTCATCATGAAAAAGGGTCAGACATTTTTACATGAAGCAAAAAATGATAGAAATGTAAGGAGAAATGAATAAATCTAAATTTATTTATAGGTGGAGTTCTAATACTCCCCTCTATGATTAAAGAACACGTAGTAGGAAATCAGCAAATGAATAGTAGACATTAGCAACACTGTCAACCAGCGGGACCTAACTGACAGGTATAGAGCACCCCCAGCAACAGCAGAATGTACATTCTTTTCAAGTGCACACAGAATATTTACCACCTTAGACCATATTCGGGACCATAAAGTAAGTTTTGATAAACTTAAAAGGACATAAGTAATATAAAGTTTGTTCTCAGGTTACAATGAATTAAAAATTAATAGCAAAAAGTTATGTGGAAAATAATACCTCCAAATATTTGGAAACAAAGTAACATATTTCTAAATACCCCTTGGGTATGGAGAAATAAAAAGGGACATTAGAAAATTTTTCAACTAAATGGAAATGAAAATTTCAGAATTGTGGATTGCTGCTAAAGCAGTCTTTACAAGGAACTTACAGCACTAAACACTGATACTAAAAAGAAGAGTTTCATTTAGTCACCTCAACTTCCATTTTAAATAATGAGGGGGAGAAAAAGAGCAAGTTAACCCCAAAGTATGCAGAGGAAAGGAAATAATAAAGATCAGAGCATAAACCAGTAATAGAAGAAAGAGAAAAATAATAGAGAAGATCATTGAAGCCAAAAGCTGATTCTTTGCAAATAACAATAGAAACGATAAACCTCTAGCCAGATTAATCAATAATAAAAGAGAGAAAACAGAGATTACTAATGTCAGATTTGGAAGGGGTACCCTCACTATTGATTGTACAAATATTAAAAGGATAATAAAGGAATATTATGAACAAATTTATGCCTTTAAATTTGACAAGTTAGTTGAAATGGATAATTTTCATGAATAACACAAATTACCAAAGTTCACTGAATAACACTCTGTTACAAAAGTTGAATTCGTAGTTAAGAAATTTCCCACAAAGAAAATTTCAGGTCTAGATGACTTCACTGGTGAATTGTTGCAAACATTTAAGGAAAAGGTAATGCAAATTCTACACAGACTTTTCCAGAAAGTTTAAGAAAAGGGAATACATTCCAGCTCATTCTGTGAGGCAAGTATTACTCTGATACCAAAATCAGGTAAAGATACTGAAAGAAAAGAACTACAAAGCAACATCTCACATGAAAATACATGTAAAAGTTCTAAAGAAAATTCTAGGAAACTGATTTTAACAATATGTAATAATAATTCATCATGACCAAGTGGAGCTTAATTCCAAGAATGCTAGGTTGATTAAACATTCAAAAATCAATCAGTGTTTCACCATATGAACACACTAATGAAGAAGAAGTGTGATCATCTCAGTAGATGCAAAAAAAGCATTGACAAAATCCAGTGTCCATTACTAATAAAAACTCTCAATAAACAAGATGCCCTAAAGGGCATCTATGTAAAACTTAAATCTATCATACTTAATGGTAAAAGTTTAAATGCTTTTCCCTTAACGTCAGGAACAAGACAAGGATGTTTGCTCTTGCCACTTCCATTCAACATTGTACTACCAATGTGACCAGGCCAAAAGAAAAGGAAAGGAGGAAAGGAAGCTGGAAGGGTCAGATGAAGGAAAGGGATTCAGATTGAAAAATTTAGAGCAACCGCCAAAGAAAATATACATGAATTGATGGCTAACATTTTATCATTAGGGAAATACAAAGTAAAACCATAATGAGATATCTCTGTACATTTATTTAAATGTCTCTGATAAAAAAGACTGACCATTCCTAATAGTGGCAAGGATGTGGAGTAAATGGAACTTTCATAAAATACTGGTGAAAACATAAAAATGATTCAATCACTTTAAAATATAGTTTGGTGAAAAACTTCAGCAAACTACTGAGCCAAAAAAAAAAAAATCACTAAACTAGGAATTAAATAATACATCTTTAACTTGAAAAAAATTTTATACCTCAGTACTATGGTTAAAAATAACTCAATAGGAGACATAATGGAAGAGAAAGTCTCATTTACAATAGCAGCAATATATATAATTTTTTCCATACAAAGATTCATACATGGATGTTCATAGATTTATTTGTAATAATCAAAAACTGGAAACACACCAAATGTTTATCAACATGAACTCAGCAATAAAAAGAAATGAATTATTAATGCATTCAGCAATATAGATTAATATCAGAATAGTTATGCAGAGTGATAATATCTACAAAAATCCTATAGCCAACATCATACTTAATGGTGAGAAACTAGAAACTTTCCCACTAAGATCAGGAACAAGGCAAGGACATCTCTCACCACTCCTTTTCAATATCATAGTGGAAGTTTTAGATACTGTAATAAGACAAAAATAAAAGATATACAGATTGGGAAGGAAAAAAAAATAAAACTTTGTTTGCAGATGACATAATTGTCTCTGTAGAAAACCTGAATTGCCCCCCCCCCCAAAAAAACCCTCCTAGAACTAGTAAGCAGTTATACAAGTTTGCAAGGTACAGGTTAATATATAAAAGTCAATCACTCTCCTTTATACTGTAATGAACAAGTAGAATTTGCAATTAAAAACACAATTCCATTTAGCACCTCCAAAAATGAAATACTTAGATATATATCTAATAGAATATATGTTAGATTTATGTGAGGAAAACTACAAAACTCTGGCGAATGAAATCAAAGAACTAAATAAAATGAAGAGTGATGTTCAAGAATAGGAAGACTCGGGGTACCTGGGTGGCTCAGTCGGTTAAGCATCTGACTCTAGATTTTGGCTCAGATCATGATCTCAGGGTCGTGTGATGGAGCCCTACATTAGGCTCCATGGCCCAGTGTGGAGTCTGCTTGAGATTCTCTCTCTCCTTCTGCCCATCCTCCTGCTTGCACATGCTCTCTCTCTCTCAAATAAATAAATAAATAAATAAATAAATAAATAAATAAAATCTTTTTAAAAAAAAAGGATAGGAGGACTCAATATTGTCAAGATGTCAGTTCTTCTCAATGTGATCTATAGATTAAATGCAAACCTAATCAAAATTACAGCACGTTCTTTTGTAGAAATTTGATTCTAAAGTTTATATGGCGAGACAAAAGATCTAGAATAGCCAACATAATATTGAAGGAGAACAAAGTTGGAAGACTGACACAACCCAACTTAAAGCCTTGCTCTAAAGAAACAGGAGTCAAGACAGTGTGATATTTGCAAAAGAAGAGCCAGATGGATCAATGGAACAGAATAGAGAGCCAAGAACGTTCTGCATGGAGCACTGGGTGTTGTGCACAAACAATGAATCATGGAACACTACATCTAAAACTAATGATGTAATGTATGGTGATTAACATAACAATAAAAAAAATTTTTTTTTTTTAAAGATTTTATTTATTTATTTGTGAGAGAGAATGAGAGACAGAGAGCACGAGAGGGAGGAGGGTCAGAGGGAGAAGCAGACTCCCCGCTGAGCAGGGAGCCCGATGCGGGACTTGATCCCAGGACTCCAGGATCATGACCTGAGCCGAAGGCAGTCGCTTAACCGACTGAGCCACCCAGGCGCCCCAACAATAAAAAATTTTTTAAAAAATAGAGAACCAAGAAATGGTCCCACATAAGTAAAGGCAACTGATCTTTTGACAAAGGAGCAAAAGCCATACAATGGAGCTGAGATAGTTTTTTCAATGAATAGTGCTTCAACAACTGGACAGCCACATGCAAAAAAAAAAAGGAATCTAGACAGAAATCTTAACACCCTTCACAAAAATTAACTCAAAGCAGACCACAGACTAAATGTATTAACTCAAAACTATAAACTCCTAGAAGATAACAGGAGAAAAACAAGATGACTTTGGGTGTGGTGATGACTGTTTAGATACAACCACAGGCCTGATCCATGAAAGAAATAATTGATAAGCTGGACTTCACTAAAATTAAGACCTTCTGCTCTGTGAATGACACTGTGAGACAAGCCACAGACTGGGAGAAAATATTTGCAAAAGGTATATCTGATAAAGGAATGTTATCCAAAATATACAAAGAACACTTAAAGTCTCAAAAATAAGAAAGAAAACAACTTGATTAAAAAACGGGCCAAACATCTTAATAAACACCTCACCAAAGAAGACCTGCAGATGGCAAAAAAGCATGTGAAAAGATGTTCCACATCATATATCATCAGAGAAATACAAATTAACAGTAGTGAGATACCACAACACACCTATTAGAATGGCCAAAATCCAGAACAGTAACACCACCAAAAGCTGACAAGGATGTGGAACAAAAGGAACTCTCATTCATTGCTGTTGGGAGTGCAAAACTGTACAGCCATTTTGTAAGATGGTTTGGTGATTTCTTACAAAACTGAACATACTCTTTCTATACAATCTAGCAATCGTATTCCTTGGTATTTACCCAAAAGATTTTAAAACTTACATCTGCACAAAAACTTGTGCATAGATGTTTATTGCACTTTTATTTGTAACTGCCAAAACTTGGAAGCAACCAACCTACCTTCAGTAGGTGAATGAAAAAACTGGTATAGCCAATAAATGGGATATAATTCAGCCCTAAAAAGAAATGAGCTATCAAGCCATGAACAGACATGGAGGAAACTTAACTGCATATTACTAAGGGAGAGAAGCCAGTCTGAAAAGGCTGCATACTGTATGATTCCACCTATATGACAATCTGGAAAAGGCAAAACTATGGAGACCCTAAAGAAGATCAGTGATTGCCAGTGGTTGAGTGGGTGAGGGATGAATAGGCAGAGCACAGGATTTTTAAGGCAGTTAAACTATTCTTATGATCCTATAATCATGAATACCTGTCGTCATACATTTGACCAAACCCACAGAATGTACAACACCAAGAGAGAACCCTAACGTAAAGTGTAGACTTCGGGTAATCATCATGTGTCAGTATAGGTTCATCAGTTGTAACAAATGTATTGCTGTGGTAGGGGTTGTTGATAATAGGGGAGACTATGCATGTGTTGGGGCAGTTTGTACATGAGAAATCTCTTCACCTTTCTGTCAGTTTTCTTCTGAACCTAAAACTGCTCTTAAAAAAATCTTTTAAAAAAAGAAATGAATTATTGATATATTCAACAATATGGATGAATATCAGAATAATTATGCTGAGTGAAAGAAGCTAGACACACACAAAAAGAGTATATTCTCTATGATTCCACTTAAGACTAGAAAATGCAAACCAATCAATCTACAGTGATAGAAAGTGTTTACCTGGGGACAGGGGTCTGGGTAGGGCTAGACAGAGGGATTATAAAAGGACATGAGAAAACTTGGGAGTGTGTCCATGTTCATTACCTTGATTGTGGTGATGGCTTCAAGGGCGTATGTGATGTATGTGGTATCATGGGTGTATACATATGTCAAGATTTAATAAAGTGTATAGTTTATGGTATGTCAATTTAACTTAAAATTGTTTTTAAATATGAATTGATTTATAAGTTAATGTCAGGATAAGAAGAATATTAACCCCCAATAGTGTGTATGGTGAATATACAAACCAATACACTGAAATGCTCCATGAAGAGACACTAATGATATGTAGGTTTAATAGGATGATTTCTGAGAAGATAATATTACGAATACCTGGAGATTTAGGATGTTGGAGAAGATAGGATGAGAAAGCATTTAAATCAGGACCATTTGAGACACTGCTATGCCTTTCTTACTGGTGTGAGTCAATATTTGATGCTTCTCTGGAAAGTAATTTTTTTCCCCTTTATCTCACCTTCCAGTGTTTCTTTTACATGAAACCCTTCCTAAGAACTAGGGAATAGTTCAAGGCAGTTGTCTCAGGCCCAGCTATAACCCATTTCAGTCCAAAGCATAAATTGTCAGGTTCCATCTCTTAACATCCTTACTGAAAATGCCATTTACTCTTAGTCTTCCTAATCCCCATGGCTTGTTTTTCTCAGTCCTACACACCTCCAAGCAACGAGTTCAAGATCAGCATGAAATTGGAAGCACAGGACCCCAGGAACACCACATCCACATGTATTGCCACAGTAGTTGGACTGACAGGTGCCCGCCTCCGCCTTCGCCTTGATGGCAGCGACAACAAGAATGACTTCTGGCGGCTGGTTGACTCAGCTGAAATCCAGCCTATTGGGAACTGTGAGAAGAATGGGGGTATGCTGCAGCCCCCTCTGGGTGAGTAGACCTAAGCTCTCCTTAGCCAATTAGTTATCTTTCCAAAATTGTACATCATATTATGGGAAAGCCTAGGTCCCCTGCCTATTCCTTCTTTTTCATATGGCCAAAAGAAAAGGCCCACCCAAAATGAAATGAACAGATCCATCTCTACATTAACTTATAATATCCAAGCTTCTCTTAAGCTCTCCTTTTTCTAACTAGAACCCATACCTTTCATCCTTCTTTGTCAGTTCTCATTTACCCTGAGAGAGAGAATGGAAGGAGATCTTACCATTTAACCTGCCTCAAAAAACCACAGAACTTTTACCAAATCCTACAATGATAACAAAAGGTGAGAGATAATTTCCCAGTAAAAGGATGACTATTATAGGGGTTCCTTCTTTCCTTTCCCCTAAATTCTCACTTGGTCCTTGTAATTTTCTCAATTTGAATTAACTTGCATTTTTTATTTAAACTAATAACCCCACTATATCTTTCTTCTCAAGATCAGACTTATCTTTTTTTTCCCCTCGGTATACCTCAGTGATTTAGCCCATCTCATCAGTCACTATCAATCACTATTGCAGTGAGTCTCAACAGAGAAGAGAGAGAGATGGGTTATGAGCTATGGCCCCTCAGAAGACTGTACTAAATTAATTGAGCTTTAGAGGACAGGTATCATTTGCAAGAGATCCAAGGGTGGTTACTGAATATTATCCCCCATTTAAAAAATTTATTTGTATTGTAAAATTCCAAACATATACAAAAGTAGAAGGAATAGCACAGTGAATGTCCGTATATTCTTTATCCTTGGTAATTACCAACACATAGTCATTCTTGTTTTATTTGTACCTGCACATATTCCCTGCCCTCTCCTGCCCAATTGCCCAAACATCATTATCATGCTATCATTAAATATTTAGTATCTGTGTCTCATAGATAATATTTTTAAAAACATAATCATAGTAACATTATCATATGTAAATAAGCTAATGATAATTTATTAATAACAAATATTTACTCAGTGTTTAAATTTTCCCTGTTGTCTGTCTGTCTGTCTCTTTCTCTCTCTCTCTGTTAGTTTCTCTGAATCAGGATTCAAATAAGATCCACATATTGCAGTTGGTTGATATGTCCTTTAAGTCTCTTTTAATCTATGGGTTCTCCTTCTCTCTTATTTTTTTCTCACAATTTATTTGTTGAAAAACCTAAATAATTTGTCTTTAATATCCCCCACAATTAGATTTTTGCCAATTGTATCTCTATGGTATCATTTGACATGTTTCTCTGTTCTCTCTTTCCTAGAAATTGGCAGCTAGGTCTAGAGGCTTGATCAGGTTCAGGTTCAATTTTCTCATAAGAATATTTCATAGGTGATGGTGTTTACTTCTATTAGGAAGCATATATGGTCTTGTTGTCTCTCATTTTATAATGTAGCAGCCATTACTGCTCGTGGTCTACATCAAGGGTTGACAGATTTTCTTAAAGGGTTAGACAGCAAAACTTCCAGGCTTATTGGCCATACATTCTCTATTGCAACTAGTCAGCTTTGTCATTGTAATACCAAAGCAGCCAGAGACAATACATAAACAAATGAGCAAGGCTGTGTTCCAATAAAATCTTATATTTACAAAAACAGATGACCAGTCTGCTGGCTATAATTTGCTGACCCCTGATTTAGATCAATCAATTCATTATGTTTACAAAATGGGAAATTTTAATCTTATAATTCCATCCACATAAATTAAATGGAATATTTCTATTAAAATAAACTTCCATCAGTTATTTGGCTATTGTAAGGATATCATTCATGGAAGAAAGCTTAAATGCTTGATTCTTTACTTACCAATTTTCAAAATGATGAATTGGTTTACTACCATCCTCCAAAAATATTTAAGGACAGTTTTTTTGTTACTGTTGTTTAGTATCATAAACCCAAGAATTCATACATATTTGACATGTTTCATTTCATTGCACTAATTGTCCTTATTGATTCTTGATTTGTCCCATCATTGGCTGTGTAGGAGCCTCATCAAATGGTCTCCTGACTTTATTGCTTGATAGCTCTCTTGGATTTTTGAAATTTCAAAATGTTCCAGGCTCATCTTATATACTATCTGCCCCAAATATGGAATCAGCTATTTCTTTTAGGTGCCTGGGTTCCTTTTAGTGGGAAATGATGTTTAGAGACTGTAATCTGAACACTAGAGTGCTCAGTGCTAATGGGTTGGTGGTTCTTTCTATGTCTTTTTGGCATAGATTTTTATCTTTATTAAAGGTAAAATCATTAGTTCATATTGATACTTCCTACTAAAATTCAGGATAAATGGTGTTTTTATTTACTTTATCTTTGCTGTCTTAAATCTGTATCTCCTTTGCACCACAACAAAACCCTAGTTCTCCATATGACTAACAAAATAACTCCTTTTTTTTATCGTATAGTACACATACAGCAGTCTCAGAATAACAGTAACACTATCATTATCATTACTGACAGTGTTTGAGTTACTTGCATTTCTTTTTTTCTTACCCTCAAGTGTAGTCAATAATATGTTATAAGGTTGTTTGGATTGGTTTCTCTCTGGGTGGCAGTGCCACCAAGAATAAACATAGGTTCATTTGTTATATTTTTTTAAAAGATTTATTTATTTTAGAGAGAGAGCGCATGCACGCACGTGAATGGGGGAGGCGCAGAGGAGAGGGAGAGAGTCCTCAAGCAGACTGCCTCCTGAGCACGGAGCCCGATGTGGGGCTCAGTCCCAGGACCCTGAGATCACAACCTGAGCCAAAATCAGGAGTCAGATGCTCAACCAACTGAGCCACCCAGGCACCCCTCTATTTTTTTCTTTATTTTTAGAGTTTACTTTTTAGAAATGTTCCTTTATAAATATATATGTGACATACATCATTCCTAAAGTCAAATCTATAAAACAAAGTATATTCAGAGAAATCCCCTTCACTTCATTCCTTTCTTCTGCCATAGGCCACCACTTTCTTTTAATTTTATAGCTTGTACTTCATTTTTTTTTATTCTTATGTTAATCCCCATACATTACATCATTAGTTTTAGATGTAGTATTCCATGATTCATTGTTTGTGCATAACACCCAGTGCTCCATGCAGAATGTGCCCTCCTCAATACCCACCACCAGGCTAACCCATCCT